TTATCAAACGTGTTTTTTTTTAAGAAACTCCTCTAGGAATAGAAATTGAAAAATCAATTTATGGCAAGAAGTTGATTTCTGAAACAGAATGGTTACCATTTGCAGCTTTAATGGCTTTATTTATCATGCTCTCAGTTGTATTGGCTTCACTTCCGTTGCCTTGCGTTTTCTCAGGGAATGAAGAGCTTTTTGTGCTGTCAAGAGACCCTGACTGGCGAGTCTTCCATTTTCTCTTCACTTCCAGAGTTACATTTCTTAACTTCAATCTCTGACCGAGGACCCTCAGACAATTCCTCCATCTCTCCTTTAATAGAAGACACATTATTTTGCAGAGACTCCCCAGAACTCTTAGAGGCACTATCATAACCTCCTTCCAGGCACTGATATGGATCACGAAAAAAGGTATTTGAACCAGATTAGATACCCATATTCAGAAGAGTGCTAAAGCCAACAAATAAGAATCAAAAGAAAGGCAGTCGAAAGATTCCTGAGAAAAGCATCTGCACTAATATCTGGTGACCATCATTAGCAAATCACAGGTTTGTCGTTTTAAAGCAGAACTCGTACTCTTCAGCAACCAAAACGAGAGAAGGCACAATTCTCAATCATTAAAACCAGGAATTCTTTTCTCAGTATAGTCCAGTTTGTCGAACTTCCTTAGATGCCTACATGGACTACAGAAAGAGCTAGGAGTGAGCAAGATGGACTGCCCAAATCGGGATCAGACCGACCGATTTGATCCGGTTCTCGGGAATATCGGTCCGATTCCTAATTCCTAAAAGTGAAACCGATTTCCGGGCGGTCCGGTTCCCGGTTCTATTGCCTTTACCAATAAATGATTGGTCCCATTGGAACCGGTCCACGGTCTCAAGACTAACCAGTCCGGTCCCCAGTCCTAAAAATTGGAAACCAGTCCTCCCGGTTCGGTTCCCGGTTCTTGAGTTGGACCGGACCAGATCAGGAACCGCTCACCCCTAGAAAGAGCATTACATTTATTTCCCAAAAGAATAAAGTCCAAGCAACTTGACCTCCTCATGCCATCCCAGTGATCCTGATTGAGAAACTTAATCAACTGAGATCTTTTCAGTGGCAGGAATTTAACATGTATGTTACAATTCAGAAGGATAAGTTCGAACAATCAATGCCATCCCAGCAGTCCTGATTTTAAAACTAACCGCTTTGGTACGGTCCTAAGAGAGTATATACCAGCTATCACTTTTCTGACACTAACAAACAATTAGCGACAGTTTCCACAAAATTCCATTCAATCTTCACTTTCAAGATTTAAGAAAGAAAAACCAGCGGTGATGATGGACCAATAGTTCGGGCTAATATTCTACAAACACGAGTTTGTGAGGTCGAACCCATTTAGTGAGGAAGGCTTGTGTACATCGGTTCTAGATCTCTAGCAATTCACGGGGTTACATCGATGGGGCTTGCGTACTTGGAACTAAGGGGTTGCCAGTGTAAATGAGTAATGATCTCACCCAAATCTTACATTTGATGATAAATCAAAGCGAGTTCATTCTATCGCGAATGTGGGACCTTCATGGTGACGCCTAGAGAGAGTAGCAAAGCTAGTTGCCCGTTTCCGCCCTTATCTTCTAACAAGAAAATATCAAAAAATAAAAAAACAAAATCGATGAGAATAGAAGAAGAGCAAAATATCAAGGGAATAGCTATGTACAATTAGGTTCATAGAATAAAAATATCTATTTTATGTTGGATTCACTAGAATTGCTTATGGAATTATCCCAATAAAAAATCGATATAGCCAATATACCCTTGTGCCAGTTTTAATCATAAAACCTAATCCCTTGGCATTCTATAATAGCTAATCATCTTTTTTACAAGGTTAAAAAGAACCTAGACAATGTCGTAGTTCTTAAATAAGAGCAAGCAGGAGAATAAAACGAGTTCCCATTTTACCTTCCCTCAAGGTTTTTATTTGCGATCCAATTAGTGTAAAGACTAAAAATGCTTTGAGCGGACACTAATGAAGTAATATTTTCTTTTTCGTAACCCTTTCAAGAGGACCCTCAATAAAAGATCGGGGCTTTATATGGGTCCAATCTATGCGGGCCTCGTGAATGTCCAACAACGTACAATGTATAACTTTATAACAATACTATTTCTTGGGGAAAAGTGCCAAAAAAGTCCTAAACCTTTTGCATTAGTGCCAATTTAGTCCGTATAACTTTATAACAATACTATTTCTTGAATAATTCAAGCCACCTCTCTTTACTACCCTATCGTAATTAGACATAACTTAGTTTGAATCCTCTAGATGTGCCGAGATCGGTCCCTATAAAGTATTGTCACTCTCGCGCACTTGGAGGTAAAACTGGGCCAAAAACTCAAAACGAAGCTTCGTTTAGATGACATTAGAAGCATGTGAATCGTGGAAGGAAAAAGTAAAATAAGGACATCAAATTCACCGGTATATACTATTAAGTCAGATGTGTGATGCCCACCCATAAGCACGATATCCAGTCATATGTGATGAATTGTATCGTATCCATCTTTCAACAGTAGATTCTGACTGACCTGAAGGTAGCGTACTAGTGGCTTCAGCATTCTTGAATGATCATGAGTCTAGCAGGATCTCCACCTGCGACAGGCAGGTTCCACAGTAATCTTGGTGGAGATCTCACCATCGCACCACTTGCAACCTTAGGAGGCATTTCACATCAGGAGAATAGCTAAGTTGGGAACTTCCACAAATTTTACTCATACATTTAGTTTGATAACTTATATCATCGTTAGATCTGGAAATTTTTGATCAATTTCTTGAAAAAGATATATTCATCGTTGTGTATAAGCTTTGCTACTTTCTTTAGTCTTAATTTAGAGTTTGAATTACTCACTTGAAGCTGGCTTCAAACACTATGCCAAAGAGCGTGACCAATAAATCATTGCAAATCTCATAATTGGGTGGCACAACGGGAGCAAGAAAATCAAATTTCAAAAGTTAGCTCCAGTAAACATTGCTTCATAAAATCTCTTATGAACATCCAACGCATGCGTACTCGGACGAAGCAGCTAGTTTGTTCATAGAACACATCCAACCAAAAAGTTCCGAATTCAAAGCACAATTACACAATTCCTATTTAGGGAACCGATGGTTGGAGCTTCAGATTTTCATGTGTCTGAGCGCCTTCATGTTCCTTCTGTGTTTCATCATGTTCTTGAAAATGGTCGCAATGAGCACTCGCAGAATCAATGCAGTGGCATTGTGTTGGAGCACATCTTCCGGTCATTGAGTGATGAAGGTGGTATGGGAAAGTGCACCCAAAATGCCCTGGCACTTCGTTCTTTGATAGATTGACTATATGAAAGTCAATGTTCTGGTGCCATTACAGTTACTCTTTACGCATTGTCGCTTTAAACCTAATCTTACGTGGCTTATCTCATTTTGACTGGGGGCACCCTGTTTTCAAGATTTAAACAAGTTTAACTGTAATTAAAATGATATGTGATGCATTTGATGTATCAAATACTTTCTGAAACGTGACAGGTGATCTTAACCTATAGATTTCATTAAAGCCACCTACTAAGCATACATGAGTGGATTATTATCGAGACTTGCGCATCATCCTCGCTTTGAAAAAAAATACAAAGATTTGCAAATTGCCAAAATGGAAAAGTCGACTCTATGCGACGGTGATGACCTGTAGCAAGTCAAATTCATCTCATCAAACTTCAAGAAATTTCAAAAGACTTTTGAAAGAGGGCGTTAATTTCCTAAGAAACCTCCAAACAGTTAATTGCCCAAAGAATGGCAATTGCAAGTCTCAAGCTAATGAGATGTATCCTCTGTCTTCACTTTCGTTGAATGTCTCCTGGACGTTACTTGCATCAAAGCTCAATGACCAAAGAAAGTTTTGGGTTGGTCGTTGGCCGGAATATCCAATGTCCAATGAACTAATTGAAAGTCAAGTCAAAGTTTAGTGATATAAATGAAAAGAAAGTTTTAAAAAAATGAATATACACTAGATGAAAATAAGAACGAATTTGATGACCCTAATGTAAATCAAACCCTGAAGTGAAATGTAGTCTCTGATATTGGCAAGCATTTGGTTACTTCGAAATTTCCTAAACAGGTGTCACAATCGAGAGGTTTTTTGACAGCAAAGACCGTGTACCATCAAAGAATGCTCGACCACACCCTAGTGGAGCTTTTGGAACATTCCCAGGGATGGGCGAGGCAGTAATTATGTCGGGATTCTAGAGAGTTCTCGGCATAAATGCCGGTAGGTGATAGATGGGATCGATGCGATCTCGACCACTCGTCTAGAAATCGATCAATGGTTGTAATCCAAGACCCTCTACTATATAAATGGGTGTCCTCATTTGAATCATCCAAACAATAAGAACTATTTCCATTCTCTCTCAGAGTTTCTCTCTCTAGATTCTCTCTACAATCCGGGTGAGCGAATGAGCGATTAAGAAAAGACTTGGCCTAAGCATTCCAACGATCCAAGGAAGCTTCCACAAGGATAGATTAAGAAAAGACTTGACCTAAGCATTCCAACGATCCAAGGAAGCTTCCACAAGGAGAGTCACGAAAGCCTTTGGCTTGAAGTCTTCCACCTCCTTCAGAGTATCTGCAATGGCCGTGCACAAAGTGAAGCTGATCGGACCAAATGGGGAAGAGAATGAGTTTGACGCCCCGGATGATCTAAGAACTCCTTAAACACCCGATTCATTAAGTCCATAAAGGCAGCAGGGGCGTTCGTCAATCCGAATGGCATTACCATAAATTCATAGTGTTCATACCTCGTTCCCAAACTATCGGCCCGTGACACAAGGATCATATTTCCCTAGATCATAGTACAAATGGATACGTACTTTGAATCAATAAAAGTTCACTATTGAAGCTGAAAACACTTCAATTGGAAAACGATACCAATGAGACAATGCCGGAGGTTGTATCCTGATTAACACAAAGGCAATGAAATCTATCAACAAACCATGCAGAAAAGTTATCACTCCTGATACTTCAAACTCAAAATAACATAAAATTATTTTTCTCGTCAACAGTTACCCCGTACAAGATAAGACTATATGACCAAAATAAAAACCAAGACAAGCCTATGTCTTTGCAGAAGTATCCTTAGGTGCTGCAGTGTTTTCCTGCTTCGCAAGACATTTTTCATATATCTTCACCACGAGGGCAGGGTGCTTTTCAACGAATTCTGAATATTCTTGACATTTTCTGAGTTTATCCATATTGTCCAAGATTAACGACAAGGCGGCCTCAAGGAGAAGTTTCGCATTGTGCTGGTGTGCAAAGGCATAGTTTACAATTGAGTTGTCCCAGTTCAATTTGGATACCAAGAACTTCTCACAATAAGCTTTGAGGTGCTCCACCTGGTACTTTTCGGCCAATACTAGAAGCTCACAAGCCATTTGCTCATCGAGGCATGCTTCAGCAGAGCAAAGATAGTTGACAAATGCTCGAAGGGCATCATATGACACATCACTTATCTTAATGGTGCCGCTTCGGCTTTCTTCCATCTCATTCTCAAGCATTGCTTTAAACACTGGGGATCGGTTAGCCTGATTATAAAAACAAAACCAAAGAGGACTCAAAAAGTTGCAATGTGAGAAAATTCAATAGTTTGATAGGAGATGTTTGTGCATCTGATCAATTTTAGTCCAAGTTTTCTAAATTGAAGAAACACCTGATATGAAGAGCTTGTGAGCAAAGCTTCTTAACCATGTCCTTGCTAACGTTATCAATTACAAAACTTATGAAAACTATGTTGTGCTCACAAGTCCCCTATGCCAAGCGAAAAAACTTCATAACTCAAGCTTGTGTAATTTTCAAGTTGATAACTCCAATGAAATTACATTGCAGCAGGCAAAATGCATATCTGATGGGTCAAGAAATGCTTTAATCAAATCTTGTCAAAGAAAGTCGTAATCACTGAAGTACCCAGCGACTCAATTACCAATTATTCCACTGAACTCAACTAAGCCAAATTCCAAGCAAATAAAAAGAATCAATCATGATCTGCACAAAAAATTGAGAATCTCTCTGACTTAGATATCTAGTCCAACCAAACAAATATGGTAGTTCTAATGCCTGAATAGATGAAAGCTACTTCAAAAACTTCAAGATCAACCTAAGAGAGAGTTTAATAACAGACTAGAAAGTAAAAGAAGTAATCTGTTACTGGAAATGTCTTATGTAGGTGCAACTTTACCAACATGCAGTTCCAAAAGCAGAGGCAACCCCCGTTATCACCAGATATAATCTAGTCAGAAGCATGTACAGTGGCAGCATTTTACAGCAAGTCTCTAAATAAAGAGTGGCAGAAATTCTTATTGATTTGACCATGCACAACTATTTAATCTGCCTAAACTTTGGCATTACATCTTGAAAACTAGAGTAAACATAAGAAGGTTAAGTTTAGGCTAAAGAAGAGAGAAGACCAAGACCAATCCAAGAAATCATTGAGGCCAGAAACAAAAGAAGAAGGCGGCCCGACATACTTTTTCGAGGCCAGATCACCGAATAGATTTGTTGAATGCATATGTTTAATAAACTCATGGCGATTTAGTCGGGAATTGTCTATGGAGGAAGGAAGCGATCTAAGAGAACTCATTTGGTTAGCTTTTCTCCAGTACCCGACAATTAGGATTGTAATTGTTCGAATCATTTATTTGATCCCACACTCTATCCAAGCATCTCAGAAGAGTATTTTGCAGCAAAGCATAGTCATTAACTACAGGATGTTTGTTAGATTACATGGTTGCCACCTTGCCGAGTCTAGACTGGCTGCCTTCTACTTGATATTCTCAAGCACAAGAAGATATGAAGGCTGCCTTTTGGTGATTATATGATTGACTCAATCTCATGAGCAGGAGATAGCAAGAGGACTTTATTCAGCTATAAATAAAACAAGTACTGTTCTTAAGGAAAATGACAGCATGATGGTTTAGGATGGTGAGCTAGTGGTATAGGTGTCCTCGAGGCATCAGAAGCATTTAATCAATCAAGCCAACTCATTATCCTCAAGTGATATCACTTTTGGGGCACTCTTTGTTTCCAGACTGAAACTACCACCATATCACGGACTTAAAGTGGCAAGGGCAAAGAGTTTTCGCTGTCAACTAGTAAGCCACAGGTACCGCTGTGTTAGCACACCCATGGAGTTACCGAATTATCACACATAAAAGTCATCTTAAAGTCCAACTCCGAATTGTCCGTAGGTGTTCCCTCCTTAAATCTATTTGCACAAATTTCTCAATAACAATTGTTCAAAGGAATGCACATAAGAGCCAAACGAAGATAAAACTTCTAAAGAAATCCTCTATGAGCATTACTCTTTCACTCTCTTATAACTCCTCTCTGCCTCAACTAAAATGAAAGATCTGAGAAACCTTAATAGCTACGTTCTGACCAATCCCCTTTTTAGACCATCCATATCAAATATAAGTTCTCCCAAAAGAGTATCTTTCCTTCCATTTCTCGCTTCATTCGGGCATCATTTCACGGTCGAGCGCCTCCACTTTCCATAAATCAAGACTACCGAACAAAGGTTCAGCATACAGTGATTCTCCGCACCTTCGTCGTCCAATGACTGAAAGAAAACTCTTAAAGGAAGTGTTCCCGAATCTAATCTACCCCTTCGCGGAGAATTATTGCAAAATTTCTCCACGCCGTAATTGACCACTTATTTACCATCGAGGCACAATTTATCACCACCCTATGAGACATGCCCACAATTAGATCTTGGAGCAAGGAGCAGAACATTTACACCCACCCGCAAATTAGCTACAGAATAATCGAAGCTTAACCACTGTGCACTAAACCCTGTCGTCCCTTCTGAAATTCCCAAATTTAATAGATCAGAGCAAAAACAAAAGAAACACCCAAAATTCAAATCAAAGAAAAAACCAGCAACCAAATCAATTCACCGAGCAAAAGGCCGTGCTCACCAGAATGGCCCTGTGAGCCGGCACCGGCATGGACGGCCCGCCGTCGGGACCGTCCTCGGCGGCGACCAAGACGATGTCGGTGAACCCAGATCCACCGGAGCGGCCACCGAGCTGCTGCTGCTGGTGGTCGGTCGGAGAACACAACTTCAAGAAGGCGACCTTGGCCTCCAAGTCCCTGATCTCTCGCTTGAGCTCTTCCTCGGTCTCGCTGGCCTCCTCATAGCACTCCTTGCACGTGCCGGCGTCGCGCGTGACGTACTCCACCTTGCAGGATATGCACCGCATGGACTCGGGCTCCGAATCGGTCTCCGACTCGGTCTCCGACTCCTCCATGTGATGCTGCCTCGCGCACGGTCGCTGCATTTGCTGGGCGAGAGAGCCAATTCTTCTGCGAAACCACTTCACTTTTTCTCGTACTCATGTCATTTGCAGCGCACGTTTGTCAATGTCGGTGCAAGTTAGAACGTACTAAATGAAAAAAGAAAAAATGAAACTTATAATTATAATTAGGGAATTAATATTTCCATAACTGAAAGGATTCTACCACAACTTTTTTTCCAAATCTCTATTTTGATTTGATTAATTTCTCCCTTGAAATTCAGCCACAGTTAATTTGCACAAATATTATTAATAATTATAAAGACAGAAATACCCTCCACCAAATTGAATATGTAACCATATAAGTACAAACTTACTTTTGTTTTCTTTCCTTTTTCATTCGAAGCAATTAAAGCAAATGGCTTATGGCAATCTAATTAATTTATAATACAGCAGAATGGAAAGGTAAATTGTAACGTATTTATAGGTTATAAGAATATTGTTTAGTCAAAAGTATAGATACCTTAATTAAATGGATATATTTTTTCGACCAAAAAAAATTAAATGGATATATTTCACATAACGTGAATAAATTTCCCCCAAGTTAAATGGCAATGACTAAAATTTTGTAACCATGATTAAATTTTTCCTAGCAAGATAATTTTTATTGATCTTTTAAGGATTAAAACCTATTTTGAGCTTTATTCATAGACGTTAGTGTAGAAGAAGTTAGGATTGGAAAAGGCGTACAATTGTGTTTTTATTAGAATAAAAGATATAGCCATAACAAAGTTAGGTGATAATCGGAAAGCAAATAATGAGTAATTGACATATCACACATGTTTAGTCAAATTGATGACATAGTGACTGATGTGGTTAATTATCACAATTGAGAATCGCTTAAGTAAACCTAAGTATTAAAAACCGTTTAAATTTTTAAAGAAAGAAAAATAATGTGAAGAAAAATAGATAAATTGGAAAAGTTAACTGAAATGAAAATTAATGAAAAGGGAATTATTCAATTTTGATCTTCTTATTTGCTTTGCATTTTCATTTTCCTTTTAAGTTCTTGTACATAATAGAGTCGTCACATGATTCCGGGTTTCGACCAATTTTTTTTTGTAATGACTTGCATTTACTAATTTCATTAAATTAATTATTGGCATTGCCTATCTAATTTCACTTTTAGAAGGAAAAATAGGGAATTTAATATATAAGTATATAAGACAATTTAACGGTGGCGATATATACAAAATTAAACAACAACGATTTGATTTGGACATTCTAGGCAAATGCAATTATTGATCACTAAAGTTTGGTAACAGAATACTGTAAATTGCTGACGTAGTTAGAAAATATCAGATTAGGAAGGAACGAGTTGAACTACTTCATAGATCGTCTTCAAGAGTAAACATTTACGACGGCGCAATTTAAAATAACGACGATTCGATTTATACATTATGGGGAAATGTAATTATTGATCACTAAAGTTCAGTAGAGCACCGCCGTAAACCGTTACACATTACGGAAAAAAAAATGACGTAATTAAAAAACATCATATTAGGAAGGAACGAGTTGAACTACTTCATGGATCGCCTTCAAGATTAAACATTTACGACGGCGCAATTCAAGAAATAGAAAGCTTCTAATCATAGCGCCGTATTACTTCAAATTCGCGATGCACTCACTTCGCTACTTAATATAAAATTATGTATATTTACCTCATATATTGAAGTTATCATGTGGTTTGGCTGATAATAACATTATAACACACACAAAAATAAAACCTATGTAGGCTTCCCCAAGGGTCCCAAATCAATAGATAGAATTCATGAATTATACATGATCTGTCTCTCTTACAAGTCTGGCCTTTGACCGCTCCCTATGGGTGGCCAGGAGCGCCACGTGGCGGTGGTGCTTAACCGGGAAGTTCAAACCAATTTCACCCCCAAGATCCAAGCACAGCGCAATAAGATGGACAAAATAATAACTGAACTACCGAAAAAAGAAATGGGCATTTACAAGAAAAGAGAATCCGTTTAGAGAAATAGATTACAGCACAGATCCACCACGCACCTCCCTTCTTTCCCTTATGGCCGAAAACCGGAAAACGAAAAGGAGGAAACCAAAAAGCGGTTTCCATTTTCCATATACTCTTTTTATTTCCGAAAAAAACAATATCGGCCGAAGCGAAGCGGGGATAAAAACGGAAGAAGGGAGAGAGGAAAATGCAGTTGAAGTTGCAGAGAGAGAGAGAGGCCCAGGAACTGAAAAGCGAAGTACCAGTTACAAAACTTTCTCCTCCTGAAGATTCAACCCCCGCCCTCCGAGGACGCGAAGGTGAGAAAGTTCTCTCCTTTCTTCCATGTTACTGTGCTCGTCAAACTGCCCCTGCTCGTTTCGGTTCATGGGTGGAGTTTGTGGTTGCTGGGACGAATTGTGGTTCATCTGGGTTTTGTCAATACATCATGCATTGGTTCCTGCATCGCTTTCTGCCAAGTTTTTCGAGTTTCTAACTCAAATTAACGCATTTCGTGAATTGGGTCTTCGTTTGAATTGAATGAGAAGACGTGGTTGCGGCGAACTTGGCATGGTACTGCGAAATGTGAATTTTTGTTCTCTGCTTGAAGTGTTCTTTTTTGTTGCTGGGAAGAGCAATAGGATGAATAGACCGGCTGAATTTTCTGGATATTGATGGAATTAGGTATTTTTTTCATTGGAAACGTGTGAATGTATTGACTTTTGCTTTGGAAATTTGAAGTTTGAGGTTTTCCCTTGAGCCCTAATCTGACGCTTAGGGTTAGGAGTTCTGGATTCAGGTTTCCAATGGGTGATGATGACAATGGCATAGAGGGAGGGAAACCTGTCTTGGCCAGCAACCGCGATGCCGAGAGTTCTTGTTTGAGGGGTGGGAAAATGAGTAATGGTTTTGCCAATGGCCACGATAGTGATGTGGCCGAAGGGAGTTCAGGCGGTAGTGAGTGTGTTCGGACTTACAAGAGGCGAAAACAAGTGAAATTGGAAAGTAAAAGTGGAGAGGATGAGAGAGCTACCTCGGGAGCTTCAACTATTTCGGCAAACCAGGTTTGTCCTGTACCTTTATTCTATCTGTTGTCACAGATTTATTGTCTGTGCTGCACATGGAATGTCTCAACCTAATTTTGCCAGTACCTGTACTTACATTTTTTTCTTCTTATCAAGTAAAAATGATGCACATACTATGATAGTTTGAAAATTGTTTGTCGGGGTAGAGAGTTGGAATTCAGTTGGTGCATTATAGATGAAATCTATATGAAAATTTGTTACATTTGTTGTTCTGATGAATGATCATTGCATGTCATTATTCTCCAAAGGGTTTATTTATCAGGTCATATAAGTGGGTTTTGGGAGCTCATTGGGATTGGTTGGGCTATCTTAGTTCTGATTGTGATGGAATGATTTTGAGGAGAATTTCTTGAAGCTGCATATGCTAATGGTGCTACTAGTTAGTATTTTAGTTTTGAAGATCTTAGTATGGTTTAAGGTACAGCGGTAGAGAAGAATTTCATATCGATGAGGAAGGAGGGGTTTCTTAGTCTTAATAATCTTTTTCCTACAACAATTGGAGATATTCAGATGATTATTGATCACTTTGGCTTTGGGGAGTAATTTTCATTTTACTAGCGAAAGCCGTTTCAGAGGTTTGGTACCATCCATTTGAGTATTTTTGGTTGCTCTATTATAGGGACCAAACTCAAAACTTTGCTATCTGACCTCAGAGTTCACTGGTATATTTTCTTTTGGTTGTTTTGTTAGTTAAAGAAATTTTTAAGCATGAAAATACTGCCTTCTACGTGTTTGAGAAGGCACTTTTGCTGGTGAAAAATCCTCTAATGGACAGTTAGAAGTTATGTGGGAAGTGTAACATAGGCTGACAGAAATTTATTTTCTTGCTCTTGATGAAGTGTTTTTATTTTTAAAGATCAAAGAGGAAAAATAATTTTTTTTTCATCTCTTCGTTCTTGAATTTTTGATTGAGACTTAATTTATGACTTACAAGTCTTCAGTGCCTTTCCATCTCAGGGTTGCAGCTCCTTTTTGTACTCCGTGCTTTCCTTTCATTTGAAGTAACTTACCCTTTGATGATTCCATGACTTCTAGTGCAGACATTTACTTTTTAGTAACACTTTAAATTTTGATCTTTGTAATGGTCTTCTCATTAGGTGATTTGAAGCCTTGGTTGAGATGGATGTTATCTAAATGTTTCTGCATATAAAACTTTTTCTATGTCTCTACAACTTATACTATTGAGTAAAGCTATTTTATTAGTTAGTTGTGGCTTTGTTAACCAATAGAAAAAGATAGCTAACTATAACTTGAATAACTTTTTCCAAAGCTTCTCAGATTAGGTTAGCATGTAACAGATTCACAGCTAAATGAATAAGTTTTCCTGCCCCATGGCCCAGTCTGCAGACTTGCAGGGTGTCCTGGATTGATTTTTGTCATGCTTAGGTGGGACAGCTGTCTTGAACAAGTGGTGGTGTTTATTGCTTTCTGCATACTATTAAGACACTTCCCAGAAGTTTGATGAAATAATACATGCAAGTCATTTGGTTTGAATGTAATTGAAAGAACCGTGACTTTGCCTGGTTAGATTTTGATTTATGGTGCTTATAGTCTTCTCTCGGATGCTTATTTGGTTTGTTGTAGATTTTAAGGGAACCAATAGCTGGAGCTTCAGAGTTTCACGTATCTGAGCAGCTTCATGTTCCTTCTGCGGTCCATCATGCTGTTGAAAATGATCGCAATGAGCACTCACAGAGCCAATGCAGTAGCATTGTGTTGGAGCACATATTCCAGTCGTTGAGTGATGAAGGTGGTATAGGACGGTGCATCCAAAATGCCCTGGCGCGTCATGCTACAGAAATTGATAATATGAAAGTCAAGGTTCTGTTGCCATCAAAACTACTATTTACGTATCGTCCCTTACATCTAATCCTACATTGCTTATCTCATTTTAACTGGTGGCCGCTTTTTTGGTTTCTAAGCAGGATACTCAGTTGAAAGATCAGTATAGGCTGGGCACCTCTACCCAAGCTACAGGGATGCAGAATGGAATTGCTGCCAAGGGTGCCGACCTTACATCTAAGGCCTCTATGAATGGATCTAATCATGAGATGATCACCGAACTGAGTCAATGTGCATTTTACAACATAATAATTTCAGGAAAGTTCAGCCAATTATGCAAGCTTCTCTGTGAAAACTTTCCAGAAACAAAGATTGACAGGGTGTTGGATTTTCGCCTCATTAACTCACGGATGAAGGAGGGAGCTTATGAACAGTCCCAAGTGCTTTTCTCTTCGGACATGTTACAGGTATCATACCATTGGTAGAACAGATGTATTGCTAATTGCAGCAAAGTATCTTGACATGAACGTGTTGACGCGTTTCATGTGAGACTGTTCAATATATATGTTGGCAAATCGATATGTGGTCTCATGCTATACACTAAGAAATCCTTCAATTGTTTAAAATTGCAGTCCTTCTGCTATATCTTTTGGTTGTTTGATGTACTGAAAGAATTTCCACTTCGTATGCTCTGTCACATTGACTTTAGCTGACCAGTAACTGCTTTGGATGTAGTTGATTGAATATCAAATTTGGAGAGGAATTTGCACTTCTTTTGGTTGTCTTCCTCTTCTGTGAGCAGTGCTCAAAGCTGATCTAGTATGGATTCTTTCTGCTGGTCAACAGCTGAGAAGCTTAGACAGCTATTTGTCATTATCACGTACATCCACTCCTTTTGTTTTCTAAAACTAAATGAACTTTTGACCATTCATTATTTAGCTTAAATTCCGATTGATTTTAGTGCTTGATATTGGGAGAATTCTCTATTTGCTTAAGATTTTTTTGGATAGAAACAATATTTTTTTTTCTCCTTCCCTTCTTACTAGATAGAATATTCAATGTTTTTCACCTGGCAGAATAACAGTAAAATCCAGATATGCCTTATAAAGATCGGTTGCATTCTAAAGAATCGTTTCTCCAATTCTCTGGGGCCTTTGTAACTGTGGTGCCAACATGCAACAGCTGGGATATGCATTACTGGTGTTTTTTTCCGTGATGAAACCCTTCTTTGCGATCTTCCTTCCAATGTGTCACTACCATCTTTTTTCCTCTGATGTCCTAAGTGAGTTATATCTAGATTAAGTAAATTGTCAAGCTTCTATTTAAGGTTTTTACATTCTTAAATCTCTGTCTCCGAGTAGCAGCTCAAGTTTCGAACTTAAGGTTCAATTTATATAGGTCAACATAAATGTAGTCTTTGTCAGAACCAGCTACAGTTTTCTGCTATGCGTTGCACCTTCTGTGCTGTAGAATTGTAGGGGGTCTTACATTGAACCCAATGGATTGCATTTTTCCATGTCTTTTTAAAAAATTCGAAGCATATTTTCAATCTCTTTATATTCTTGTAAACTTAAGTTGTGGTTCTATAATGCAAAATGAAGGTCCCATGTTGGTATAGATGAATGTCCAGTGTAAAACAATTGATGATTTTGTTTACAAACGCAACTTTTTTTTGTACAACTTTCAGAGAGAATCTAGTCATGAAACATAAATTGTTACATTTTGACTGGGTCATGACTTCAGATTATTATAGTACTTTCTTTATTGCTGTAAGATTAGATTTAAATTAAGTCTTTGAGAAGATATTCGAAGGAAATGCCTTGGTATAGTAGCTTTAATGGATTTGCTGGGATGTATAGGAGAATGGAAGGTAATTGTAGTGAGCTGTGATGATCTAAAGGGTGGGAAAGCTGCCAGTTGAAAATGTACTACTCATGCAGGAGCTATGTAGAAGAGTCCGCTGGAAGTCGAACTTTTACGACACGTTATAGTCCCATTCATGTCATTTTTCTGTAGAGTCAGATTAATAAGGATCTGCTCTATGTTAGAGACAGCGTAAACAGAGTGCATTGCAGTTGATTTTATTGAAGCTCAAACTCTTTTTTCTGAGTTACATTTTGTAAATCCTTTGCCTAATAGTGTCTGAACTCCAAAGGGTGGTTCTGTTGAATGTATGCTTCAGGAAGGATTTTCAGTTTTATCCTTTATTTTAATCTTGGCTTCTTTCCTGTCCCTTTCCTGTCAGTGGCTTGTGAAATTTCTTTAATGCCATTACCACTGACATTTGAACAATGTCAGATAGATATACCACTGCACTATACTTGGAAAATTTGGTTGTCTGCTGAAAGTTTTACTTGGAAGTAGCTCCAATATGTGATTTAATTAAATTATTAGGGTAATTCACTTGATATGTTTGCTGCAATGAAGGTACTAAGCCGATTCCAAAATTGAACACTTGCGAAGAATAGTTGGGTCCTAAGTGCAGTTACTACTGCATGCTCTTCTAAGGTTTCTCCATTGGATACGACATTTTATGTCCTTGGTGCTTTGTTCTTCCCTAGATTCTTTTGAGTTACTTCATTCTTCGTGACTTCTGATGTTTGTTCTTGAGCATCTTGATTTGGATGTGTGATCTGTGCCAGTTCTTCGAATATCTGTTGCAGTTTTTGATTCATAGTAGCGGACTTCTAAACTTCCTATTATCTAACTTGTATGCTAAAAGTTACCCTGTTGTATAAGCTGCATGGCATATCTTAAACCTGGTAAAACTTTGCAGGTTTGGAGGAAGCTTGAAGAGATTGGCACCGAATTAGCTTCTTTGGCAAAGAGTCTCACTGACATATCTAAGGAGTATTGCAAATATGTGAGATTGTCGTAGTATTTTGAAATATGTATTTCAACAGTCTTTGCTGTCATTTTTTCTTCCAAGGTAAGTCTGAAGTTCTCTTTTTCTCCCAGGGGGCAAATGCAGACAAAAGCTCTTCTGATGGTGGAAAATTTGAGGTAACTTTTTCTGAATTGCCGTGTAAATTTTTTGGGTGCATTTTGCTGGTGCAGGTGCATAAATATATTGGACTAAGTTTTTCAAATAATTATCTTTGTAGATTAGATTTTTCCATTCTGTATTTTCTGTACACAAACAGACTGACAGAAGATGCTTAAAGCACGATGAATCACTTCCTCAATTTCCATGTTTGCTAAGAAATGGCATTTATGTGGATTCGTTATATGGGAGTCTTTCGTGCATGCTGTAATTCTGTATAATTGGAGGCCATGGATTTGTTAAGCCTTTCGTGCATGTTGTAATTCTGTATGATTGGAGGCCATTGAATTTTTTTCATTCTTTGATCTGGACCAGTGAATACATCCTTTTCTAACTGTTTTCAACTTTGCTTTGTTGTTTTGCACAAAACATTAGTGTTTGCGGGTTAGGGTGGTGTATTGATGTTGCTATCTGACTTTTTTCTGTCACTGTTTGCTTTTTATTTTCTTTTGTACTTTCACTGCTATTGTATTCCTTTTGTAATCTTTGATGCCTCTATCTAGGAGATTAGCTTGTGTAGTTTGTGAATTAGAAACTTATTGATGAATCTAATAGTTTGTTCACCTTGATGTTTTATGGTATTTGCACTACGTGATTAGTATATCTAGAGCTTTAGCAGAAGCCATTATCAGGATCTTATTGAATCTTCTCGGACCTGAGTTCTTGAAATGATGATTTGTCAATCCTGATTATGACTTGACAAGTCGTTTATATTGAATAGGTCTCTGGTAGGAATACTCTCGTTGATGCTAAATTGGAGCAAACAGAGGAATGTGGTGCATATAATGTTAGCATCTGTCGGCATTGTGAACTGAAGGCAGATGGAATGGAATGTTTAGTTTGTGATTCATGCGAGGAAATATACCATGTCTCTTGCATTGAGCCTGCAGTGAAAGAGATTCCACCTAGAAGTTGGTACTGTGCTAGTTGCACGGAAAGTGGAATCACGTCTCCTCATGAGAACTGTGTTGTCTGCGAGAGATTGAATGCTTCCAGGAGTGCCGTCAATGGGTTTGCTGATGAAGAAGCTCTTACCACGATGGAAGATGCAAATTGCAGCTCAGATTTGGGGATTAACCCATTTGAAGAGACCCAAATCTCGAGTACCTGCAAAATATGCGGGAACGAGATTGAAAACGGGGATAAGTTCAGGATGTGCGAGCATCCTTTTTGTCCCAGTAAGTATTATCATAGGAGGTGCTTGACAACTAAGCAGTCGAAGTCTTACAGTTCCCGTTGGTACTGTCCTTCTTGTTTGTGTAGAGCCTGCCTCACAGATCGAGATGATGATAAGATTGTTTTGTGTGATGGTTGTGATCAAGCTTATCATATCTACTGCATGAAACCGCCACGCACCTCAATTCCAAGGGGAAAATGGTTTTGTAGAAAATGTGACGCTGGGATTCAAGCAATACGCAGGGCAAAGAAGGCATATGAGAATATTGAAAATAAACAGAGGAGGAAAGTTGTAGAGAACGGGGAATGCCGGACACCGGACAAGAAGCCAAACGAGAAAGGTGAAGAGGATACGGACAAAGGTAGAGGTGGAATGGACATGCTTTTAATTGCGGCCAACACTCTAAATTACGAGGAGAAATTGGCTGGTGTAGAGATGAATTGTTGAGAACTTGATATGGTTGACTTTGTCTCGGGAGGAGCAGTATCATTGATTGAGTCGTAGTTTTGTAACTCTAGCAACCAATTTTCTGAAAATGTGCATTTAGGATGATCAGTGATATTCAGGAGTTTTTGTGGGGTCTTGCTGACTTCTGGTTGCGCAACATTGGGTGGCATATCATTGTGAAAGCTGTGCATTATCTGACAGTAGCTCTCAATTCAACGACAACGGAATATGAAGGTGATGAGGAAATAGTGCTAACTCTTTTGTTGTTTTTGTTCTAGCAACAGCTGTTGTAGTTTCCGAAGCTTGTACCCTGTTGTGCATTTAGTTGTACCATGATAGCATCAAAAAGCTGATTACTCCCTGAGATATGTTGTAACAGAATAACTGTCCAGCTACATTTTTTCCTTCAACATCAAGAAGAGTAAGCTCTTTTTTTTCCCCCCTTGAGACATCAACCTGTGAATTTACATTTCTGATCTTGGTGGAGACACTGCTTTGTTGCTCACCCCCGTGATACAGAATTCTTGTAGCGTGGAAGTTCTACTCTACGCGTGGTACTTCAATATCATGGACCCAGTCTCTCAATAAAATGCAACAATGTCCATTTTATGCGTGCTCTCTTTGTCACTCTCTTTGATATTCATGATAGTGAGGCTAAGTTCATGTTGCAGTGAAGCCATGTTGTGAGGGTGGTCAACTGCAATTAATTTTAAGAGTTGCTTGCTTTGGATCCTTCCAGTTTATGCAAATCTGACATTTTTCTGCTGTTGGGTCTGCGCTCTTTTTGCCTTATTGATTCATGGCTCAGGTATTCAAAAGTGAAACAGTGCATATTCTTTTGTCTGGTGAATTGTTCTCAATTGAGATCTTGTAGCGGTGCTTGTGCTTGCGGTAGCAGGGTTTTAGCCCCTCCTGCTTTCCTTCTCCGTTGTGTCATGTCGATATAAGTACGTAGCGTCCAAGGAAGACTAAGCTCACTTTCAAGGAACTACATTCATAATTACCCATGTCTGTGAAGAGTAAAATATAAAATACTTTCTCTAATTAATCTTTTTTTTTTTTCAAGTTTTAACTTGACAAAAGACAGAATACGGATATTCTTTTGGAAGTACCCTTTCTAATTTATCCTTTTTTCAAGCATAATCTCAACAGCAGATAAATTTTTCATATACCTTTCTTTTTATCTGTTTTAGTTATGGGTCATGTGTGAACATTCCGTCATCTCCGGTTTCTTTATATATATAATAGATTAGTTATTACTTCTCTATCATGGATCCCTAAATGTTTTAAAGAAAATTATTTTGTGATGAGTATCTGATAATGGATAATTGATACCTATTATAATTAAACAAATTTTTTGATGGATCTTTTAGAGTGAACCCGGCCAAAGTACGGGCGTGCTAACTAGCTTTGTATTAAATCTAAGGATGAGAAATTGTGGATGAGGCCGCCGGGAATCAGTATTCAGCAATGTTCCTTTCAAAATGTCAACCCAACTTCAGTTAATTCTGCTTGCGCCATCCTCGTTGGCTTGACCGACTCGTTCCAAGTCCCACTTGATCAGCTTCAGCCCTGGTCTTTGCTATGTCCTGACCTTTTCTTCACTCGTTATGCTACGATCTTTGACCAATCGGGTTTTGTTTACACTGCCAATTGCTGGCCCTCCTCGCGTCATCAACTGTCTGTAACTTCAGCTTTGTCACCACTGCACTGCCTGCGGGTTTCTTTGTTAGCTGGTCTTATAAAATCCGTTTGCTAAATCAATTCTGGTACTTCAACAATCTGTCTGTAACATCGGCTGTGGGCTTAAAGCCCTGCAAATTTGCCGTGCTCAAATCTTACGGTCGATGATTACAAGTTTTAGATCGAACGGCCAACGACATGCACGACCCCACAGCTGACAAAGAAAATGCTTGGATCCGTTGTCGGACAAGGCCATCCGCAATTTTCATATGCACGAGCTCACGGTAGGGGGATTTGTGGTTTGTATGTGATTTACTTGTTTATATATTCACTCGATACCGTATGATTAATTAGTAATGATGTAATCACCGCAAAGTCAATCTATACACTATTTAGCTTTTTAAAAGCTTCTTCATCACTTATAAAGGTTGTCATCAAGCTATGAAGCTCATCATCTTGTTGCAAAACATCATCTCATTTCAGGAAGAATATGGGTGACTCCATGTTGCTCCATAGACTTCCCTTGAGAGTTGTACTGTTGTTGTGCACATTGGTGGCTCTATTCTCTATAGTTTCGGCAGATGTAGTTCCAACAACAAAGCCCGGATGCACGAGTAGATGTGGCAACCTCACCTTCTCGTACCCTTTTGGGATGAACAACACTGGCGATGACTGCTACTTCAAAGAAGAAACGGATTCTTTCCTCATCTTTTGTGATAACTCGACTGATCCTCCCACTCCTTATCAGTCCGATAAAAGTTCTGATTTCCAAATACTCAATATATCTATAGAGAATCATGAGTTTGGTGTAACGATGTTTGTGGCCTATGATTGTTATAATCTGTCCGGTGGAAGCACAAACAAAAATGATCCTTGGCTCGCTCTTCCCATATTCCCCATATCTCCTGCCAAGAACAAATTTATCGTAGTGGGATGTCACACGAACGCGATTATTACAGGAAGCACGTATGTGATGGGGTGCGTGTCCTCATGCGAGAGCTCGGGCATTGGTTGCTGTGAGACTAGCATACCTCGAGGCGCCTACGGATACAACATCTCTGTCACTAGCAAGCACAATCATACTGGCATATGGGGATTCAATCCGTGCGGGTACGCTTTCGTTGCCGAAGATGGCTTCTTTAACTTCTCCACCGACTATCTATACAAACCACGCTACGATGAAGTCCCTATAGTTCTTGATTGGTTAATTCCATATGAAACATGCGATGAGGCAAAGAAGAATACAACGACCTACATGTGCCAAGAGAACTCCAATTGTACAGATGCTGAGAATGGAAATGGGTACCAGTGCAACTGCTTAGAGGGTTATCAAGGGAACCCCTATCTCCAAAATGGCTGTCAAGGTACCTTCTCTAGTCTTTTCATTAGACCTACCTCACTTTCGAACGAGTGTTCATGTATAGAATCGTGGATCATTATCTCAATAAGGGTGAGCATGTTAAATGGACCCAATTGCATAAGAAACCTAGATAAAGAAACTGTTGGAAACTTAAAGTCAGAGGACCAAATTTTGACTTGATAAATTGTACATGTTTTAAACGATTCATCGTGTAAAATATATAATCTTACAAATTTTAACAATCTAGGCCGTAGAACGCAATCATTTTTTTTTTGGATGCACAAATATTCGTTGCTTGTAATTTAATATGACCTATGAAGCACTTAGCAATAATCTGTAAATTTTCACAGTAATCGTTCCTCACGTAGCTAAACATTCTTCTCTCTTAAGTTTAGTACGTACAATTGTTTTACAAACTAAAGTGGTCAACTGCAATTGAGTTTTTAAACAAATGATCCATACTGAACACTCAATATGAGTCGGTCAAAATAGTTTGCAAATCAATTTCATGTACCAATGTTAATACATCCAGCATTATTCTGTATTTTATAGACAATTCTTTCTGAATTGCTTTCTATGTAATGTGTTGTTCTCGGTGGTCATGGCACGAATTTGTTGGATATTTCATAAGTCTTGTATTCTAAACTAAGATCAAGTCCTTGACTAAGTTCAGGCTCTCGGGATAACGACCCAGCACCCAAAAATTGTGGTGATGTTTCGCGATCTCAGAAAAAGCAATTTGACTCAATATTTCCTCTCAAAATTGAAAGTATTGCCAAATCATGGATCTTTAACTTTTTCAAGCTTCTTCCAATTGAAATGGCGTCTGATTTGCTTCTTCTATTTTGAATATATTCTTTCAGATATCAATGAGTGCGTGGTTTCACAGCCCTGCAGTGGAATATATACGAATTTGCCGGGAACGTATAACTGTTCATGCCTAGCGGGATACCAAGGAGATGGAAGAAAAGATGGCAAGGGTTGTACTCTTATCCCCCAGGATAAGAGGTTTCGCTCAACCAATGTCGTACTAGGTTAGTAAGTTGTACACATTGCTCGATCTTTTTCATCATAAAAACTTATTTTATCTTATAAATTATTCACATTTCTTCAATGTTGTTCGGGAAAATTACCAATTCAGTCCTCAACCTATTACATTTGTGTCCAATTTCCAAACCTTTCATTTGGCCAATTCATTCCTAAACCTTTTGACAAACCAGCCAATTGATCCTTTTGGCCGGCCGGTGGCGTGGCCAGCCGGCCGGCGTCCACGTGGCAATATTTTAATATTTATTATTATTATTTTCGAATTTTTTTTGTTTTCCTTCTCCCCCACGCCGGTCCGGCCGGGCTCGCGCGGCGGGCCCGGCTCCGGCGAGGCGGCCAGGCCCTCGCCGCCCGGGCGAGCCTTGCCCAAGCTGCGGCGAGGCGGAGCTCGCCCGCCATGGCGAGCTCCACCTCGCCATATCTGGGCGAGGGCGGAGCTCGCCCAGCCAAGGCGAGCTCCGCCTAGCCCAGCCATGGTGAGCTCCGCCTCGCCCGGCGGCGGTGAGGGCCCGGCTCGCCTCGCCGGGCCGGGCCCTCGCCGGCGAGCCTCCCTGGCCGGACCGGCCGGGGGAAGGAAAAGAAAAAAAAAAAAAAAATTCGAAAATAATAATAAAAATATTAAAATATTGCCACGTGGACGCCGACCAGCCACGTCAGCCGGCCGCGGCCACGTCTGTGGCCTCCAAAAGGACTGAATTGGCTAGTTTGCAAAAGGTTTAGTACTGAATTGACCAAATTGAAAGGTTTAGGACTGAATTGGCACAAATATAATAGGTTGATGACTGAATTGGTAATTTTCCCAATGTTGTTCTTATGTCATTGTTCTATTTTTTGCTATTAGTTATCGAGATTTGTTTCTGATGTAAACCTTTCTCTTTGAATTAGTTGTGTCCATGAATTAAATCGATATTATATACATGTATTGTCATATCAAGTTATTCAATTTGATATTAGTAAAATCAACCACTTGTTCTTTTGTTGCCAAAAAAGAATCAAGCACGTTTTATCCACTTGATAATTACATTATTCTTATTATCATAAGATACTCTCAGCATAATTATATATTTATTTATCAATGTTTGTCTTAATGAAAAGCTTCAAGTTGATGGAGAAAAAAAGTAAATAGGACAGAGAAGTTAATTAACACAAGATTGTTTGAGTAATGAAAAAGAAAGAGTTAAGCATATATATCTATTACAAAAAAAAATTATATTTTTTTCTTTTCTTGGTTTTGTGAACCTTATGTAGTGTGATGGACAACTGATTTGTTTGTTCACCGAATGTAATGTCTTTTCCTAGGTGTGAGCATAAGCTTCCTACTGATTCTTTTGGGTGTTTCCTGGTTATATTGGGGGCTTAGAGAAAAAAGAATCAGCAGACAGAGAGAGAAGTTCTTCCTGGAAAATGGGGGCCGCCTCATGTTGCAGAGGCTTCTTTCTGAGCACGAAGGCACTGTTGAATCGGCGAGAATATTCACCGATGAAGAGCTCAAGAAGGCCACGGACCACTACCATGAAAGTCGAATCCTAGGCCAGGGAGGCCAGGGAACTGTGTACCGGGGGATCTTACCGGACAACACGGTTGTCGCCATCAAGAAGGCCAAGATTTTGGACCGAAGTCAGGTCGAAGATTTCATCAACGAGCTGATCATCCTCTCCCAAATCAATCACCGCAACGTGGTTAAACTAATTGGGTGTTGCTTCGAGACGGAGGTCCCGTTATTAGTCTATGAGTTCGTGAACAATGGCACCCTTGCCAAACACATACACAAGCGCGGCCATGAGTCCACGTTATCATGGAAGGCTCGTCTGCAAATTGCAGGGGAGACCGCAGGCGCCCTCTCGTACTTGCACTACGATGCATCCACTCAGATTTTGCACAGAGACATAAAGAGCACAAACATATTGTTGGATGAAAACTACACCGCAAAGGTCTCCGATTTTGGAGCATCCAGGCTAGTCCCCCTCGACCGGATGCAGCTGACTACGCTGGTGCAAGGCACGCTCGGGTATTTGGACCCCGAGTACTTCCACTCGAGCGTATTGACTGAGAAGAGCGATGTCTATAGCTTCGGGGTTGTGTTGGCTGAGTTGCTGACTGGACTGAGGGCCTTGTCCTTCGAGCGGGTTGAGAACGAGAGGAACTTGTCCATGTATTTCGCTTCTGCAATAATGGGTGAGCGGCTGTTCGAAATCATCGACCCGAGGGTGCTGAACGAGGGGAACCCTGAAGAGATTAAGGAAGTTGGAATGCTAGCGAACCGATGCCTGAGGGTGAAAGGCGAGGATCGGCCAACCATGAAGGAAGTGGCAATGGAATTGGAAGGACTGCTGAGGATGATGGACAGGCATCCATGGGTGAATCAGAGCAGGGACCTTGAAGAAGCCGAGCACTTGCTTGGTAAGATATCAAGCAAATGTGATGACATCCCCAAAAGCACTGCATCAGGAAATGATGATAGCATAAGTACCCAAGCGCCCTTCGAACTCGAAAGTGGAAGATGAGACTTCATGGCAATGTTGGCCACTGTACTCTAATTCGTTTTCTTTTTTGTATTTCCTTGTCTTTTTTTGTTTATGTTTTTTTAGTTGCTTGTTCTATGTCCTCAAAGTTCAGATGCTACGTCCAAATAGAGTACCTGTCCTTTATTTTTGTGTAACATAACATGTGGACGATTTTCAAACAAAAAAATAAGGAAAATGAAAATGCCAAATACATACCTAATTCTTATCCCATTAAGCGAGCTAGGAACTGGCCAACTTTCTATTGCCTCCATCTTGCCGGGATCTACTCGGATCTACTCTAATACCATCCTTGGAGACAATACAGCCTAAGAAAACCGGGCTACTTTGTGCAAAAGTGACACTTCTTCAAGTTAGCGATGCTCCCATAGCACTTAGAGAATTTGTTGTGCATGTTCCAACTGATCCGCTTGCGTCTTGCTATAAATTAAGACGTCATCAAAGTACATGACAATAAACTTGCCAACGAAAGAGTTAAAAGCATTGTTCATAAGATGCATAAAAGTACTTGGAACATCATAAAGGCCAAAGGGCATCACCATCCTTTCATAAAGACTGCTTTTAGTTCTGAAAGCGGTCTAACATTCATCTCCCAATGTCATCCGGATTTGATGATAGCTACTTCTAAGGTTGATCGGGGAAAACACATAAGCTCCATGATTCATGAGATATCAATCAAAATCATGAGATGATTCATGGAAATACTAGAATCAAGTGATTGACAACTCTTATAATATAATGATATTTTCATTTATTATTTTCCATTGTTGTATTGTTTCCTTACGTAGTGTAACATTTGTAATATCTATATATAATGGAAATCATCTCAACAATGATATGTTGAGATCAAGAATCAAACTCCTTTGTTCTTTTATGGTATAGGAGACATATCTTCAAAAGAAATCGATCCTTAACCATGACTTCCCCAATCCTAAGTATCCACACCCCTCATCTCTGAACATTAGCAATTTTATCTCACTGAAACTGACACAAACAAACTACTTTTATTGGAGAGCCTAGATGCTTGCACTAATTGAAAGTCAAGATCTGGTAGGATTCATTGATGGCGAGTACCAGATGCCGAGTCCAACAATAGCCACCCCCTCTGATTCTGGAAAAGAAGCTAGAGTCTTAGAGGAAGTGGCAAATCCAGATTTTTTACAATGGAGAAGGTCATATTGCCTTCTGCGGGGATGGATCATTGCGATGCTCTCCGAAGAAGTTCTTGCTCAAGTAGTAGACTTGAAGACATCTGCTGAGGTGTGGTTAGTTTTACAAAATATTTTTGCCAAGGTATCTGAGGAACGTGAAGTTTCAATTTTTCTAAAAATTCAAAAATGTCATAGAGATAATTTCTCATATCTTCACGAGTATCTTGGTGTTTTTCAAAAATATTTTAATGAGTTATCTATTATCGGATGTTCCCTTGAGGACAAAAAGAAGGGTCTCTTTGTTTTGAATGGCTTAGGTGATCAATATGATTCATTCACAACCTCCATATTGAAGCCTCCAATGCCGATATTCTCTAACTTGGTTTCGCAATTGCAAAGTTTTGAGAGTCGGCTCACAAATTAAAGTTCCCTTGTAATTCAACACGGGACGGCTTTCTTTGGTCAAAGAAGTAATTTTAAGAGCATCAAGAAGGGCAAACAATTCCAACATTTCAACAACAATTATTTTTCTTCGCATGGAACAGGGTTTTCTCACAATGGTCCAGGAATGAAAAATTCTCGGGCTGATTTTATGCATTCGCAGGGTCACAAGCCACAATTTAATCAAAGCAAGATCGAGAAGCTTGTGAAAGGAATAGACAAAGTCGTTTCCTGTCAAATATGTAACAAGCAGGGACATGTTGTTTTAAATTGCTTTAATCGATTTAATCAATCTTTCCTCCCATCGGATGTGCCAAAAGCATTTGCTGCGCTTACTGTTGGAGATAGTCAAGTTTCATAATGGTTCACTGATACTGGAGCTTCAAATCACATGGTATTAAAGCAGAATGTTTTGAGTTTGAATCTTTTCAGACTCCATTTGTCTTCCCAATTAAATATTTCCACGCTTAGTACTAGGCAAAAAGATCAGACTAAGCGTGAGGGGGAGTGTTAGAATAATTAAATATTAAATCACGTCTTCATCTAACAGCTTAAGCTCTTAGAACAGTCGGCAGTGGTCCCACTAAAATCTCACAGTTTGGATAAAAATTATCTTATTCGGTGTTTGGCGTATCACAAATTTCGGACACGACCAGATATAGTTTGGATATAGCCCGAATGAAAAAGTCCGACCATAGACCTAGATAAGATATGTGAAATCTGAGAAAAATTAAGAAAAAAGTAAAATACGAAGCTTTAGAACTCTGGGCCTTTCCCATCGTCACCCTCCTCTTCTTCTTTGACCTGTACATTCCCGAAGTTTCTGAATCTGTGAGACTCTAATCATGCTCCGTCGACTCTTCACATGGAGGCACCAGATCTGCTCTTCTCTGTCGACCTCCCTACTGGAATTGCCTTAAACCGCTGCTTTCAGCTCCTTTAAGGGTGAGAAAATTGTGGATCTTTTACAGTGAACCCGGCCAAAGTACGGGCATGCTAACCAGAGTTCGTATTAAATCTAAGGGTGAGAAATTGTGGATGAGGCCACCGGGAATCAGTATTCAGCAATGTCCCTTTCAAAATGTCAACCCAACTTCAGTTATTTCTGCTTGCCATCCTCGTTGACTTGACCAACTCATTCCAAGTCCCACCGGATCAGCTTCTGTTGTGGTCTACGCTACGTCCTATCCTTTCCTTCACTCGTTCTACTTCGAATTTTGACACAAATAACGTCTTGTTTACACTGCCAATTGCAGGCCCTCCTCGCGTCACCAACTGTCCGTAACATCACCTTTTGTCACCACCGCACTGCCAGCGAGTTTCTTTGTTAGCCGGTCCTAAAGAACAAGAATGATAGAAATATTAAAGTACCAGAATTGATCTAGCAAACGGATTTTATAAAAGATTGGGCCGAGTCCATGCTGCCGTGGGCTAAAGCGCTGCAAATTTGCCGTGCTCAAATCTTATGGTCGATGATTGTAAGTTTTGGATCGAACGGCTAACAACACGCACGACCCCACGGCTGACAAAGAAAATGCTTGGATCTGTTGGCGGACAAGGCCGCCCGCAAGTTTCCTGTGCATGAGCTCACGATAGGGGGATTTGTGGTTTCTATGCGATTTTTTTTGTCTGTGTGAGATTTGCTATGTACTCACTTAAAATTATATGATTAACTACTAATGATGTAATCACCGCAAGGTCAATTAATATAGTCGGGACGATGAATATTGCATATACTATTTAGCTTTTTAGAAGCTCCATCATCACTTATAAAGGTTGTTATCAAGCTATGAAGCTCATCATCTTGTTGCAAAACATCATCTAAATGCATATACTATTTACAAGACTTTAGCAGACTTTTATTAAACACGAAGTTCTTAAAATGTTCTCAAATATATAATATTAATATAGGATTGGGAATTTAAAATTCAATTTAATTTTCTTGGACAAGATTTTTTTTTTGAAGTCTGTCCTACTCTAACTCTCAACTCACTCTAAGACTTTTGCCCAGCCTTTTGCAGGGTGTGGGAGTCGAAACCCACATCTGAAACTACACGTCCCCACTCTTAACCTTCTAAGAAGGTAGGATTCGAACTTCCCACCTCTCCCTTCCCAAGTAGGAAGGGTGGCCTTTTGTTAATAAGCGACCTTTTGTTTTATCATAAGAAATCAAAACTGAAGGGCCCTAATTAAAAAGTTGGTAGATGCTTGTGACGGTGAGAGTCGAAGCCCTAGTTAATAAGTTAATGAGTTGGGATGCACATCGTATATGAAAAGAAAGCGCATGATCTTGTCCTTTCCCTATCATCTTTTTAGTTTTTGCATTAACATGAACGCTCCAAAAGAAAAAAAAAATTGCCATGCACAGAAGCAACGTCCCCAATATACATTGTATCAAAAATCGATAGGGAAAGGAGAAGATCGGAGCACCTTAAAAAGCGTATGATTTTTTATAGATTAATCTTTTCGAGATTATTTGGAAAGTAAGAGCAGCTCATTTGGTCACAGTCCAGTCTCTGGCTCAGAATAGCTGGTCTTCTCGATGAGCAGTGAAGAAAGATTAAAGAAAAATTTGTCAAATTTACATTACCAACTTTCATAAAATAAGTTTTGGAACATTTCCTTATATAAAATGATGGACTCTCAAATGAATAATGCATTTGGTAAATGGAACGAGCACTGCACTGCACAAGACTTCGTCACACGGGGAATTATCATTGGATCGTCTCATGCAAGTGGCTAGGACCAGCTGGTGTCAACTCCACAACTTGAACTTAGCCTATAACATTTGACCAAAAAAATAAAAAAAACCGAAAACGAAATGACCCATCTTACTTCTCCTTATATACCCCCAACCCATCAAATTAAATCATCAAGAAAATTACATGTATATGAAGAGAGTTGAAGGAAGAACCATGGTCATCCATGAACTTCTCTTGAAAGTTGTGGTGCTTGGGCTTTATTGGTTCCACACCACAATCACATAGCAGAAGCTGGTGATTTAATGACCAAGCCCGGATGCCGAAGTTCGTGTGTACACCTTGTGATTCCATATCCCTTTGGATAGAGCGGCAGTCAAGTAGTTTTGACTGCCGTTTCGATCACCCATCTTTTATTGTCTATTGTGACAACTCCATAGAACCTCTCGTACCTTACATGGTCGTAGAAGTAGTAACTTGCAAATACGCGACATTTCCATCGAGGGCCACGAGATGTGATTAACCGTTTGGAATGGTCAAGAATGCTATAATTCTTCCGGGTACGATAGATCTTTGAGCAATTATCCATGGATCATTCTATCTGAATTCCCTTTATCCAGCACCAAGAACAAGTTCACCGCTATTGGTTGCGACACGTTAACCGCCTTTCGAGACCGCCGTGGGAAGTTCTCTTTCGGTTGTATGTCTTTGTGTTGCAGCGTTTTGGACATCGGCAATGGGTCGTGTACCGGTATCGGTTGCTGTGAGATGAGCATCCCAAGGAACA